GGCACCCAAAAAGAGAAGCCACCTTCTGGTTGGTGATTCGATTATAAGGGATGTAAATTTAGGAAAGGACACAGAGTTTTCGAATGAGGTCAGGTGTCTTCCAGGTGCTACTGCCAGAAGGGACAAGAAGCGTATTTGTAAAATAATCAAGAATGCCAGCAAGGACTGTGATGTGGAGGTTATTGTACATCTTGGCACTAACGATCTGTCCCAAAAAGATGTACTCACTGTGCAGAATGATTTCCAGAGCCTGGGGCAGGAACTTAGCAGAATAGGCTGTAGGCTTATTTTTTCAGAGGTCTTACCAGTGTATAAGGACCAAAATGGAAAAGGCCAGCGTATAGCACAATTCAATATGTGGCTAAAGGAGTGGAGTAAAGGGGAAGGCTTTGGATATATTAATCATGATGTCAGCAGCTGGTCCAATGAAGAAATGTACAAAAGAGATGGTTTGCATCCATCAAAGAAAGGGACTGAGTTACTTGGCTATAAATTCACAGATTTTCTGGAGGAATATTTAAACTAAACAGCGGGGACAGTGAGCTAACTGATACAGAACATCCTTGTCCCTGGCAATCTAAAAATTATAGGGCTATCAGTGCATGTAACATAGATGTGTGTGTGGACAAGAACATCAACCTTGCTGTCAAGCAAAATCAAGCTCTTAATAGCGAGTGCCACACAAAGTGCAATAACCAAATAGGTGGTAAGACATTAGGGGAACTCAGGCACCACACAGGTTATGTAGGAAGTAAACACAGGGTCGATCATAAAGGACTCAAATGTCTATACACAAATGCACAGAGTATGAACAACAAACAGGGTGAACTAGAAATTCAGGTTAATGAGGGCAGATATGATATTGTTGCCATAACGGAAACATGGTGGGATGAAACCCACAAATGGAACACACAGCTAGAGGGATTTAAATTATTTAAAAGTAACAGACCAAATAAAAGAGGAGGTGGAGTTGCTCTCTATATAAGAAATAACTACATCTCTACATAAATAGAGCACAACAATGATGAAAACTGTCCTGAATGCATATGGGTCAATATAAAAGGGGGG